AATAATCAATGGAAAAATCCCAAAAACCCAATTGTTTAAAAGATAACTGCAAGAACATTGCCGCGGAGTGATGCGAGAGAGTGAGAGAGAATACCATGACTTCTCTCTCATCCTCACGGGTGAATGTGGAACGTGATCCCGCCTCCTTCTGGCTCGAAGGGGAATCACTCACACTCGAGCGCGACAACCACACCGACGTACTGCCGCTTAACGCGGCAGCGTCATTGGCTGTCCTGTTTACCCCAGTATCTCCGGAGGGGTGCTTCGGATCCAAAAGTAGTAAAGGACTTTTTGGGTCAGACTCACCCCCTGTACATGCCGGTTAATTATCGGCACGTACTTCTGGGACACCCTGTATACACGACCCAACTACCCCTTCCACTACCTCCAAAACTAAATTTCGTAATTAAATTAATAAAACACGGCAATTTAAAGAAAAAAAAAACTTAGTTACCTCACCTAAATCGCCTATGCTCTTTTCATTACTTCTAATGCTCTCGCAATTAAACACACCATTAAAAAGATTCGTGCATAGCAACGGATTTTTTCGCATATTTTCCGCAGTGAGATTATCAAAACTGAAGCCGTCAGATTTTTGTTTGAAAGGTGGCAGCATCTGTTTCCAACGGGCGCTGTCTTATTGGTTCGTAATCAGCGTCCCGCACGAATAATGAGAGGTTGGCAAAAGTATCGTGGAAAGTGCGCTGAGAAGAGATAAGTTGAGGTTATTTTCAGTGATAAATGAAAAAATATTTTCAGTGATAAATTAAAAAATATTTTCAGTGATAAATTAAAAAATAGAAATGCATAATTTGCCATCTCATGGTGCTTGACACCTAACCCTTTTTCTATTTTTTTAACTTTGTTCATTTATCCTTGGAAATAAACAATTTTTCTAAAAAAAACGCTCTTCACTGCACCCTAAAGTATGAAATGCATTTTGAAAATACAGTTTTCCAAAACAAGAGATGTTTTTAGAAATAATTAAGGAAAATGCCTTGGAAAAATGTGAAAAAACTTAATTAATCGTTGATTATCCATACATGTGTTTTGAGAGAAAAATAATGGATTATTTCACGTAGCCATTATTTTTGGGGCCAAAATGCAAGTGGCAAGCGCCCCAAAAAAGAGACAAGAAGATATATAACTCCTAATATCCCGAAAAAATCCAAAGCAAATCGATTTTATAAAATCACCTGACCTTTATTGTGCATTGCATTCAATTCGTAACCTCAAACAGGCTTAATATGAAATTCAGAGAATTTTATTCTCGTTCTAATTTTTATTTTCAAAGAAAAGAATAACTCGCCAAATTAAATGATCAATTTCTCTTAAAATTTGATATATTAATCGAAAACCTGGAAAATAAATAAATACAATAACTAATTAATGAATTATTTACATAAATTAGAAATTCAAGTAGTTGATTGGAACACTATTATCGCTCACTCATGAATCAAAACTTATATTATACAGCAATGCATCGAATAGGAAGATATATACCGTATATACTCAATAGTCCTTATTCCAAATGCATAATTGAAGAATTGTGAAGGGAGAATAATGAAATTATGTGGAGATACATAAAATTACTCACTTCTTTAAACTCCAGGGCACGG